TCTTAAACAACAAAAAAGGACAAATTCAGTGAATTAACCAAATGCAAACTAACAAAATAGTAGCTGACTTAAACAAAAGTGAGGTGCGAAGACTTCTTACCAAGTCCATTTTGGAGATGTTGTGTAAAATGGTATTTGGAGTTAAATTTTGTCGGTGTGATTTTTAGTTATTTTACCTTCATCTTGTGTTCCAGTCCAAGAGAGTACTCCACCAGCATTCTATAAAACAAGAAGCAAGCAGTTTATTTGCCTTTCCCAAGCAGTACTGCTTTACAGAAACTATCATATTAGTTTAAATGGGGCAACTGATCATCATTATGTACCCCAGCCAAAGGGATTTTTGGATTTTAACTCAGTATGTAAATCAAGAATCAAGTACATAAGCCTCTTCTGCTGGGACTAATAGTTCTAAATTATTGCATAAAGTGTTCTCTCCTTCGATGACTTACCCTAAAATCGAAATATGAGCTACTTTTCCTCCGGCGCTTTGGAGGTTTCTTTGTTCCAATATGAAAAACTAATGCAAAGAATACTCCTGTTCCAGTTACAATCCAAGAGAGGTACTGTAGAGTAAAAATAAACAGGGATTGTTTTGTGAGAGAGCATATAAACTTCCTGGTCGAGAATCAGCAACAGTTGCGACCATAATCCCAGAGTATGATATCCTCCTCAGTTTGTTAAAAACTACAGTCGGTTGCAGAGCTTTAAGTAGATGATAAGAATCTTAACTGGGTGGGTCCCCACTTTCTTACACTACATTTAATTCAGTTTGCAACTGATATACTTATTGTAAATTACACACAGCATATTACTTACTTATTCAATATCAAATTACTTCCCTTATTTTACATTTTTGCTTTCGAGTAACACGTAAAGCAGAAAGAGCGAGTATACCACCTTCTCCTCTCCCCCCCCCTCCCCTCTTCACCTACTCCCCTACCTAGTCGAAATTAGTTTTGAAGTCTTTGCTGATTTTCAGTGAAACACCTGTTTAAATAACTGCACCGAAATTAAGTTACTTACTACAGAATCTGAGAGATTCTTTGGTCCAAGGCTGTTAGCACTGTCTCGTTCAATAAGGGTCCAGGCGATGACGTAAACGTAGACGCCACTCAAGATGCTAAACATAATCCTGGGATAATACTTAAGAATTGATTTCAATCATCGTCTGCTCCTGAGTACTTAAGAATTAATTTCAATAATCGTATGCCCCGTAAGCTCCCACTTACGCAATGCTAAAGGTAAACAGTTCCAGGAAACAGATTTAAGAAAATAAGTTGGGTTTTTCGATTAGTTGTGATTCCTTGCTCTGAAGTGAAGAACTAAAGTAAAAGTTCCTGTTGAAGAATCTTCGTTAAGAATCGCTAAGCGCGCCCTTTTTTCCTACGTGATTGCATTCTCTTTAGGTTCAAATATCATTTTAAAATGAGTTGTTAGTCATTTTATAAAACATTTGTCGACTGAGTTTGGTTAAGCCGGACGGAAAAACATTTGGCTCTCGGTTATGATGTAGGTCATGGCCTCGAAGCAGATATTATCTTAATTTCCGCACTTTCTACTTATTCAATTAGCCCATTTATAATCCTTTTAAATGGCAAAATTTGGAAGATTTTTTTTGTCTATGAATACAAAAAAAGAGCATTTAATTCATGAAAACAAAAGTTCACTCTTGTGCTAGTGTTAGAAATATGTTTTTAAGGTATTTCGTTCGTATCACTATCTGCCAAGAATCTAATTCTACTGTAGTACTTTTGGCACACCGACATCGTATTTAGTACAAACTGCAAATCAGTATTTACGGCAAAGTTTTAGCAACCATTAACAATCGGCAAAAGCTGCGAACCAGACTCGTAACATTCCACTCTTCAGCATGACTTCATGAGTGTAGCTTTCTTATTTTCATAATCTACACTCTTCGATTCTTCGATGATCGATTTCGTTTGGCGTTTACAAATCTCTGACGCTCTACACATATCAACGGCTTTCTGAAGACTTAAGTCGGTTTCATGCAATAGAATTTCGTTTATTGGGTCACAGACAATTCCACACGCGATTCTATCTCGAATTAAGCTCTTACAAAGTTCTTACAAAGCTCTTACACTCGTCCTTGCCTTTGTACGCAGCTCAGTTACATACTGATTGATGCTTACAGTTCCTGAACTCGAATGAAAAATTTGTGCCGTTAAGATGTGATATTCTGTTTCGGATTACGAAAGTCCTCGAATTCCTCCGCGGTCGATAACGAAAATGTGGTGTAAATTTCGAGTGCTTCTTCTCCCACGAGATGGAGAAATACGGCGATTCGTTACTTTTCGGGTTTTTTTATTGATTCTGAAGCTTTCATGGACACTCAAATCGTTGTTTCCACTTACGCCAGCCGTCCGCAACATTTCCCTCGAGACTAAGCGTTGAGGGCGGCTTGGCAGCTTGAGCTAGATTTTCGTAATTTATCAACAAACTGAATTTCAATCGTATTACCAAATTTTCCAATCTCTCTTCTGAAGAGTGGTCGGCTCTAAAAAGCCTTAGAAAACGCAAAGACATAGTTATCAAAGCGGCCGATAAGGGCGGCTCAGTCGTTGTTTGGGGCACCGATCTCTACCAAAAAGAAGCTCTACGGCAACTTTCTGACACCTCTTTTTATCAGAAGGTCGACAAAGACCTCACTGCCAGCAATCAAAACACCGTCAAAAATACGATCAACCAACTCATAACTAAACAAGAATTGCCGGCCACAGCAAAAAATCTCATGATAACCACTCCTAGAACTTCTTGTATTTACCTTTTACCTAAAATTCACAAACCTAATAACCCAGGTCGGCCCATTGTCTCGGCCTGCAGTTGCCCTACCGAACTTATCTCCAGCTATCAAGACAAAATTATGGCTCCCATCGTCAAAACTTTACCATCATATATTAAAGACAGCCAGCACGCTCTTCAAATTTTTCGCGACTTTAATTTCCTTGGCCAAAACAAACTTCTTTTCACCATGGATATTACGTCTCTTTACACTGTCATTCCTAATGGCGAAGGTCTTCTAGCCCTTAAACATTTTCTTGATCAACGTACTGTTAAGGAACCTAAATCTGAAACACT